TCCGTGTATTAGAAAAAAAGAGACAAGGAATAGAAGGATTGCAAATTTTCAAATCTTTATAAATAGATAGAATCCATTTCGTTAGAAGAATATAAAATTCAAAGTTGCATCCTTCCATCGAATCTTCCTCGAATATTTCTTTAAAGATATAGACCTACTTGTTGACGAATTGCAAATTCTTCTGGCGAACTCGATAACTATATACATACAACGTGATATAAATAGACATGCAATTTATAGCAACGATGCCCGGTTGAAATTCAAGTATGAGTAGGGATGGGCGAAGAGTCGTAAATAACCTTGTCATCGCATATTCCGTGCAACAATGCTATCGGCATCTTTTCAATAACGTATCTGTGACATTTGTGAAAAAACGCGCCTCTGTGTTCTCTGTTCACAGGAAGTGCTGCACACGATCAGCGCGCCCAGCGGCCAAGTACAACGCATCGTTATTTTCAAGAAGAACGGCGTTCAAGCGATGGTGGAATATCCTTTTGCAATACGCGTCCTTGGTCCAATCCGATGAATCATTGGGCGTTTCGTCGTCAAGCTTGGCGAAGCGCGATAAAACGGGTTTAAAGCTCGAGAGGATCTCCGCTTTCGTGGCACACTTTCTTTCTTTCTTTCTTTCTTTCTTTTTTTTTTAATCTAGAAAGGATCGTATGGCGAAGTTTGTCGGTCACGTGCCAGCATTACAATACGATGAAGATTTATTATAAGGAGAACTCGAGGGTTAGAACACGAGGTTACCGGATCTTCCGGTACTCGTGTCACTCGCTCTAATCCTTTGATACCTCGAGTCGAACCGAGTAGTTGGAGCAGCATATCGAATCTCGTTAAAGATTATCCTTGTTTTGGAAATCGATCTCGAGTTAATGCGATATGAATATGGATCGAAAATTATTTATATCGAATAATTATCATTCTCCGAAGATCTTTCGAATCATCCTTCGAAGATAACATTTAAAATTGAGATTCGCGTTTGAAAGGTTGGAGATCCTCTTCCATATAGATAGATTTTCTTACGAATATTTAGTTTTTCTGAACAAATATTTTTTCTTAACCGAATTGTTCGATGATCACGTTTGACTCGGTGGAATCGGCGACGAGAGCGAAGGAGACGCTTCACGGAGCGGACATATACTCCGGTTGCTGCACATTGAAGATCGATTTCGCCAAGGTGAGTGCCGTATAAAATCATCGTATAAAGAAAAATATTAATTCCCCGTCCCGTTTCTCGTGATATTCGCTCGCAGAAGCGGTTCTCGCGCGCCCTCGAAGATCAGGTTTATTAAGGGCACGTTGGACTATTTCACGGTGAAATGTAAATGAAAAGGGGCAAAAAAAAAAAAAAAGGAAGAAGAAGAAAAAAAAAATAACCCTTTTCAGATTCACCGTTAATATTCATGAGAAAGAATCCGACTGAGAAATGCTTCCGCAAATAATGGAAACGTTCTAGATTCACGGTACCTTTACGTAACGGTGATAAAAAGGAGAGAACGGAGGATACGGTGCACTTATGGTACCATAAAATTTCGAGGGAAATTTGCCGGTTTTTATTCATTTTAACGTGCTCGTTACATATTCCAATTATCCTCCGTACAACCTCCCCTCCCCTGCGTCGACGACATTCTTTTCAATATTTCATCCTAGTGTCTAATTAGCAAATCCGACAAATAGATCTCGAGAGCGTTATCATTCGCGTTTCTCGCCGCGGACGAGCTTAATGGAAACAGTATAACAGTATATCTGCATACGGAATCCTTTCTTTATTATATCCATCCTCTCGACCGACGAAGATATCGGGATCGAAACGGGATGGAGATAATTCATCGTGTAAAAATGTGAAACGAAATGCTTTCCATCTCGTTAAATGCGTTTGAGAAAAAATTTATCATAAACGGAAAAATATAACAAATAATAAACGTAAATAACGTAAGACATATTCGAATAATTTGTTGCACGAAAACAAAGATGATGTAACGAGATATCGAAACGTATTGACAATCTACACGCATCCACATTTTATCAAATTATATGTATTTGTGAAAAGAGTCGCGTAATTCGTTTAAATAATAGTTCTCTTATTAAGTATACAGGAATACATAAGATTAGTTGTACACGATGAATCACTCCGTTCAATTTCATTACTCATTGTGCATATCTTTTTATACGATTCATTCAATTGAAGTGAGAAAAATGATAGATAGATTCGAGTTTATAGAGACGAAGAAAATGGCGAATTAAGAAATTATAATAGACGGATAAATTATTTAATCATTTTGCCCAACTTTGCGCGTGCGTGTTGGCCGTTATTGCCGTAATTACAAATACCTCCCCTGTTGAAACAACGTTACATCGCGCTTCCCTCTTACGGGTGTCCCTTCTATCGTGAAAAGGATCGCAGTGCAAACAGCGACTAGTTCTGCTCCGGAGAGAGTGAAAAGAAAATCACGCGCATTAACGTTAGGCCCGCGGCAATGAGGTCTTTCGTGTCGTTTGAAAGCAGGGGGTAAAAAGAGAGAGAGGGGGGGAAAAACGAAAGAAAGAAGGAAAGAAAGAAAGAGCGATTCCAGAGAGACGAGATGCATGAAAGCCGCTCGCTCGCTCGTTCTCGCCTAACGAGTGATATTTTTTTTTTTTTGTTTCTTCTTTGTTCGAATTGTGAATCGATCGAACACCCCTTTTCTCTCTATCGCATTTTTTCGACGTATCTCATTTATCATTCGTACATCTTTTCTTTTTTAACTGGAGGGGAAATTAATAGTTGCTTTTCTTCGCGATTCGTTTAACGTTTCGAACAGCGTGTATTTTTCTATGCATTTTATTCGTTCGTTTCATAATACGACACATGCTTTATTGCCCTTTCCCTTTCGATTAACTTCCTTGGTCTAAACTTAGGAAAATACACGGCGTATTATTCCCTATATTTTCTAAGCAACGGGGTTTCGTTTCTCGCGATGTATACACAGTCCCTTATATCGATAATTACCGATAATTGCTCATTCCGCGCGTCGCCTTTTTTAATAATTAAACAGCAGGGTAATCTCTTCCGCTCTCCAAGAGAATGTACGCACGCGCGGACGAGATTTCGCTCGCATGCCTTCGTGATTCACGAGGAATAACCTTTCAGCGTGCATTCTCGAATCGTGTTCGATGATTTCTCGCCATCCTGGCATCGAACCTCTCTCTCGTCTCTCTTCCAATATATCATCCTCGCACTGTCATATGATTCATCCGCGTTGCGCGTATTTCGCACTTACACAACGTCTCCTCGAGCACACGCGCATATTTGGCAGATCTTTCCATTGGCAATAGTTGCATAAAGGGGTGGGATCGGTCGGCCGCGCAAGCCCCGCCTCGAAATCCAATTTTGAACTTTGGGCCGTGGCTTAGGCTCTATTTTCATTATAGGCGAACCGCCGTTTTGGCAAATATCTTTCGTTGGCCACCAGAAAGGAACGTTCCCTTTTTAACGCTTAAGTGTCGCCGCAATCGGATTTCGTCGATCGGATAAATCGCGCGGAACGCCGGTTTCGCATGCGTCGAGCTTAATAAAGGTCCGCGTAACGATAAACGAGGGAGGATGGCCAGATTTCCATCCTCGGGATTACGCGTCATACGCGGGATTAATTAATAATAAAGAGAAATTTCCTTTCGGGATCAGAACCGATCGATCGATCGAACGAACCCAGACACGCGAGATTTATATTTAATTCAATGCCTCGGTTAAATGGTAAAACGTATGAATGCATGCGTCGGAAACCGCGTATCCGTTACGGGATACTTAATCTGTTTCTCGATATACCGATATATCGCAATAAACTAGCGGTTTGCAGTTGCACGATTAAGTCTCGCCGAAAAATTCAACCAATTTTCACGATGACACTTAACCGTTTGAAGGAAAATATATTTGGCGCGTTTAAGAAATTGTTATTCGAGAATTTTTCGAGAGAGAGAAAGAGAAAGAGAGAGAGAGAGAACGCGATATTTTATTTCAAACAATTTTCACGCGTTTCCTTGTTGTTCAATAAATATTTCTGAATGGATATCAGTGTAACTACTGTGTCATTTAATAAATTCGTCCTCTACAAGTTAAATTGTGAAATATCGCGAAAACTTTCGAACTGAAAAAAAAAAGGGGAAAAAAAAAAATCCACAATTTTTCGAGCGAAACCCACGCGAGAGCGGAAAGAGGGATAGAAACATATCGGCCGATAAATTTTTCGAGGGCGAAAATTTAGTAAAAAAAAAAAAACCTGTCGTTTTTTCGCTCGGATCTCGCAAATTCGAACCCCTCGTAACGACGATCCTCTTTCGAACCGTCGATTATCGATAATGATACGACGATGGATCGTTTGCATTCGATAAATTTACACGCTCGCCTCCGCGAAGCTGAACGATAAGCGGACACGTAGCAACGCTTTGTCAATCTGTCACCGCTTCTTGCGATATTTTCCTCGAATGAAGTTGCTGCCCGCCCAACGATACACACACACACGCGTATCACCTGCGTCGTTTCGATCGTATAAATACATCATTCTCTCTATTCCGTCTCTTTTCTCTGGTCTCGTCGACCAAGCTTTATATAAATTTTCGCTAAGAGCCGCGGGAGAGAGGGAGGGGGAGGGGATTAAAACGATGAAAAATCACCGCGATAACCAGCTCGATTACTTTGATAATCGGTGCTCCTCGTGAAAAACGGGCGTGCAAAGTAGCCAATCTCCAAGTTTCTCGAAAGGCAATTACGGGAAATTTCATGCGAAAACGAGCCACTCGATGGATCCGGGGAGAGGGAGGGGAATTCGTGGACGAGATTTTTTTTTTCCCCCTTCCGTTGCTTGTTACCTCGATCGAGGAGGGGGAAGGGCGAGGGGGAGAGCTCGTCGTGTATCGAAACTTTATAACGAAACGCAATTGTTGGCGGCGGCCATTTTGCCGGATTAGGTTTAAGAGTAGGGAGAATTTGGTGGTAGTCGGAACAACTCGATTGGTGGATCGAGCACTCGATAAATAAAGGATTTGGACCGGGATCTCGAGTCGAATACAACTCCCATTCCCGTTCCCCGATTTATAGAGGCATAGAGTTGCTTTTGTTTTCGTATTTACGCTCGCGTTACTCGTTATATACAAACGTTATATTTTTATTCCGTAACTAAGAGAACGAATCCTCTCGATTGAAAGGTAATACGAAATAACGAAATTTGCTCGTTCTTACCTGTTGTTCTGCCGACAATCCCTCGTGGGTTCGCCTCGTTTTATTCACCTCGAAAGGGGTTACACCCTTCTCTCCAAGAGTCTTTCCAAGAGGAAACGCGTTTCTGGACGCGTTTCGCAGCTCTCTCCCCTGTATCTATCGATCGATTTCGTGTCGTCTATCGTCGTTTAACGTGTTAGTTGTGCAACCACGTTATTATAAACATTCGGTCCTCGCCGATAACCGAATCCCTCGCGTCGTTCTTCTCCATTTTGGCAGCCGCGTAGCCAATGATCGGGTTACCTCGGGTCCGGCCTAGCCTTCTCTAAAATTACACCTCACTTTGTACCCAATATTCGCATTAACCGAACGTTGACAATGAAAAACGATCTGGCAATTATTTCCTACCCGTTTCCAACCGACGTTGCCTTCTCGTTGATCGTTTTATCGTTTTACCATTCCGACCACCCCTTCTTTTCGATCCTTATTGTTACCCGTCCCGACCCGTAGAAAACGCGAAAAACACTCCCTCTCTCTCTCCGTTGTATCGTCCCGATACCGTCGCGCCGCTTGACGAGGGAAAATTAACAGCGGCCGACCC